AATAAAAAGCAATCCAAAACGATGTGATTTCTGTCACAAAGCAACTACACTTGCCACTGTAAGTGACCACGCGCCTGCCTGGATGCCCTGTTAAACCACAAACCACAAGCTGTATCTCATTTCTGCAAAATCCACTGTATCTCCACAGCTCTACTATCACCTAAGCCCACAATTCTCTTAAGGTAACACTTTTCCTTTAAACCTAAGTTTACTTATTTCAAACTTGTGTTTTCTAAGCATGTCCTTGCATTCAGGAAAGCCAAGGAAAAGGAGACAGTGTATGTCCTACGCCCTACTGTCCCTTAATTCTTTCAGAGCATGTAGGATGGCTGAAATGTCTTTAAATTAGCGAGTCAATATTCAGAAGTACCACCACCAGCACACCAACATCTTCCAAGCCTAGTGAACAGAAAAGACAGACCATTACTGTGACTTTCACTGTTCAGTTTCAGGTGACCACAGTTTCCTGGAGCAAGCACAAATTCTGACTCTTCACCATTATTATGTAGTAATTTAGAAATACACAAGCAAACAATAATCTCCTTGTTTATTATATTAAGTTAGACTTAGCAAAAGCTTGCTAGGTTTTATAAAGATCAAAGTCATGGATAACATGGCTTTTCGGATAAAAAAAAGGATAGGCAGATTAGAAGAGAATGCAAATTAATGCTATTGGGATGCAGTACTCTGGGAAACTTTAAGACCATATTTTTCTGCATGATAAATTTTAGGACACTGCTTTTGGCAGTAGCAAATGCAAACGTGGTGGGAAGACTGGCTACGTATCAGTTTAAAATCTGCAAAAACTACTACCTTCTGAAGGAATTGTACATATACACTTCAAAATCCAGAGTCTCTTATTCTTCCTTACTCCTTCAGGCTACTATCTAGTTGTTTATCAGTGAATCACTGTTTCAGTAGCATGACTACCTTATTCAGGCTCACCTGGCTTTGTTGGTCTTCACAAGTTTAACCCACAAACCTGGCTCGATGCAACGACTTCATGACTCTTTTCACACTCAACTTGACCCTCTCTCATCTCTCCACTAGCACAGCAGGAAGAGAATTTGAAATGATCTTAAATACATATTGACTGGGGAGTATATACAGATTGCTAACCATTCCATGGTTCACTTCCCTAAAATCTGGAAAGCACAGATTTTGGTACCATAGAGCAGCTGCCAGAGCAATCCTAAGTAAGAAAATACAGGTTATGTGAACAGTAAGAGCAGAAAAAAGGGAAAAAAAAATACAGTCCCAAAAACCAACCAAACGAAAAAGATTCTTCTGCCTTAAGATAAACTTGTCTCAAATTACACTTACTTTCAAAATGTAGTTCCTCACTCCATTTACAGATACATCTATTGAAATACTGTGTGGTATGTTCTATTCAAAATACTGAAGTACTTTAAGTTGAATGAATTCCAGAAGCTAGGAAGTTAACAGACAGTATGGAAAAGTTAGTGGGTAGCATCTTGAAGATACAGTACTAAGCTTTCAAGTAAAATACTAGAATATTCTAGTGTGTAAAATACCATTTGAATGTTATTTAAAGAAAAAAAAAAAAAAGCCTATGCTGCTTGCTTTGTTACTGTCCATCGATCTTTCCTAATGTGACATCATTATATCCAAAGATAACTGTTCTCAGGAAATATACTGGTTTCTCCTGGAGAAGAAAATTGACATGAGACCACCCCTGGCAACCTCATTTTGAAAGTCAGCTAAAATAGCAGAAGTGATTTATGTGCTCAAGGATTGCCGGTTACACTTGCCTCGCAGGCTCCTCTGCTTCCATCTTGATCCTCAGAACCAGGGCTCATGAGGGCCATTAGCTTGCATCAGCTGTTTATTGCAGGGAATTCTTTCATGGCTTTCTAATTCTCCATCAGGACTGGGGAACTGAAATAGATATCTCTCAAGATTATCAAATAGCTTCCTCTAAAATGGCAGTGCTTTTGTCTCACCTCAGTATGAGTGTCCCTCACTGGGCGCATTATTTACATGGAGACATCATGTCACAGATGTGAAACTAAACCTAATGGATATCAAATATACCTACCTTTAATAATGCAATTAGAGTTATTATTTTCTATTTAAAAGCTTTAAATATCCGAGTAAGGTCCTTCTGTGGATTCTAGGTTTTGGCTAAAAAGGAAGACAACAATGAGAATGACTTATTTTGAAGGACTTTTACATTATACATTATACTTTTACATTATAACCTTTTACATTATACTTTTACATTATAACCTTTTACATTAGTTCAGCTCATGAAAATTACTATTCCTTCTCTTAGAAGATATATTTTAGACAAAACATTTTAAGGGCAAGTTAAATGTATTTTAAAAGTTGCACACAGATAATGTAAAATGTTCTGCTTATGTACCATATTTCTGTGTACTTACCACTCATGTATTTAAGTACAAATCCTCTTGGCTGAATGCACTGATACATTTTGAAAGTGATGTTATTGACAATGAAAAGCACCAGAACATGACAAAATTTTCTAATTTGTGGAATAATTACTACCTCTCAACTTACAACCGTGCATCTGATTACCTCTCACGTGTTAAGTGCACTATTAAAGCACTTTATATGTTTACATAGATACATAATTAGTGCCAATCTATCAATACATTCTAAATTTGACGCCACTGCAGTTGTAAAAATATGCAAAGATTCCATCTATAAGGTCTCTATTTTGTACATTTTAGCAATGTAAAGGAAACTTGCAGCCATTAAACATTTATGACTATACTTGCTTCCAAAAAATTGCAAATTTATGATAATATGGGAAACATACTGATGCTGTGCATTAGTTTTATTCTGTATATAAATGCCATCTTGAGCAAATAAAAAGTAGTATAAATTACTGAAAAAAACTACTGTAGTAAATCATTACAGAGCATATTAATAAACAAAACTGTATGGAACATTTTTGAGTACTTTGGTCACATATTGGTCAAATTTATTTTAAAAGCAGAAACAAAACTGATACATGTGTCCACACACACAACACGCATAACACGCACTTCACATATAAGTATCAACATCTTACATTTCAGTTTTTCAAATTTTATTTCCACAGCAGTATTTAGCTTTATTTTTAATAAAGACTTCCATTAATTTATTTTAGGTTGGTGTTAAAAGGGTAATACATTGCTAGAAACTGAAGCTGTAAAAAAATAAGCCTGAAAATTTAGAGCTTTTAAGCCAAAAAATTTAAGTGGTAACATAGCTAAAGATAGTAAAACTGAGATTGTACAAATAAACTTCTATGCAACTCTCCCTGCACTTAATATTGTGTTTGTTTGAAGTGAAAATGACTAAATCCTGAAAATAAACTGAACCATGTTACCCTATTAGAATACAAAAAAGTATTCTCATGCTGACAGTCACATACAAATTGTTTCATCCTTACATTAAACTAGCACGATTGGAATATTCCTCTCCACCCATTCCAAACATAATATTCTTAAGACTGATTTCCCTGCCCCCACTCATACATCCTCTTTAAAAATCTTACTTAATATATTATTTCATTTCAATTAATATGGTAGATGCTTATTTGTGTAACTCCTTGCTGTAAGAGGTATATGGTAAAGATTTCTAATGTCAAAATGCTGAATATATACATTGCATTGTTTTAACATCTACTAAAATCTTTTGGTAATACGATGTTATGGAAGACTGGGAGCGTAATAGAAAAATCATCAAGTAATGCTTCTTCAGAAAAACCTTTGAATGGGGGTTTCATCCTTGCTGTAACCAAATGGCATAATGGTAGAGCTTTACACAATGGACCAATGGTTGTCTCCAACCTAAGAGGAAAACCACCAGATACAGAACATTTAAATAGGAATATATCCAATTGTAACCTTTGTTGTTTATGTATCACTTGTATGTGATTTTTTATATGTAAAAATTAACACATTACATGGAAATAAGACCTTAAAAATCTGGAGTTTCTTTTGTTTTCAAGATGATATTTTAATATTATTGAGATTAAAAAGTGCTGGAGCTTATATGCATACTAGTTGATTCAGTTTTCCATCAGAATTGATGACTGAATTAGTGCAAAACTTTCACTATGTGCAATTTTCTTGTTTGATGTAGCAGACAATACAATATTCAGTTCTTTTTTTTTCCAACTGCATTTTTTACCTATGCCAAAAACTCAGTTAACAAAACAAACAAAACAACAACAAAAAACCCACATAAGAAAATTTCAGACAATTCAAATAGCATTAATTTTGTATAAAATGTATTAACCTTAAACTTTACTTTCTACCCCCTCCCCCCTTCACATTGCCAGAAATATGAAATATGCATATGGTAATGTAATCCCTAATGAAGGGTATTGCTACTGTAAGAAAAACTTAAGAGTCAAACATACCCTACTTGTATGTGTTTGACTATCAGCTTTCTAACGCTTTCTAGGGATCATTTTATTGGTAGTAGGTATGCATGTCCACTCAAACTTTCAAAGAATTTTATAAAAAAGTTAGAAAAATATACTCAGTATTTGTTGCATAACCCTCCTATATTCACCCTATCATACATGAATCTTACAAAATGCTTTAGAACCATTTTTTAGCTGCAAAAAATACCAGACACAGTGTGCAGCATCTGGAGAAAGGTCTTGATGAGAACAATCTAGTGTGATATAATCCCGAAGGTATTTTTCTTCAGATTTACAGCTATGCATTTTCACAAGTAAATCCAATAAATACTCAATACTATGTTCATATAAGCATCCATGAACACATAGACCCTTCTTGATTTCACACTAAATCCTGAAGAAGAGCTGGTGATGTGAAAAGTAAATGACCAAGTCTGATCAACTAAGTACAATAGAATGAACTCCATGTTTAATGGTCACCAAGTTATTTTGCAACAAGCTGACAGACTGTCCTTTTAAAAAATTTCCTTCAAGGGCAAAAAAAACCCATTTCTGATAATTTTTTTTGCAATTTTTTTAAATGCTATTGGTGATCCAGTTAAGCAATGACATCATGGGTATCACTGTTGGGTCTTTGGCGTATAGTCAGCGGGGGCAGAGGCTTTCCATAGAAATCTGTGTAAGAAATGCCAGAGAAGAAAAACACATTAATTTGTCATTTACCAGCTCCCTTGCTCAAAGACTGTTTAAATAAGTTAAATTCTTGCTTCCTTAATGAAAGCTAGGTAGCCTACAAGTTTAGAGCTCATTCCTACAAGTAACTTTCAGACGTAGTGCTAATTAATGTCTGGAAATGTATTGGCCAAAACAGGGTTTAATTATGTTTTGTTATACATGCATCAGCATGTGCAAGATCAAGCCCAAAGGTAATCTGTAAATATCTCTAAAAAATGGGAAATCAGACATCTAAAGTGGACAAATAACAATTGAAAAAATGAAGTATCAAAATTTGAATGTTGGTGTGGGTGAGTCTGCATTGCAATAAAGTTTTAAGTCACAGTGATGCTAGGCAGTATCCAAAATTTTGAGATCATTTCCACATGGCATCTATCTTAAAAGCCATACTAACTTTCTAAAAGAACAATATTGAGAATTTTTAGATAAAAATGCAGTATTTCCTTTTATCAATAAAGGAGTTTAAAGTAGTAAAATTGTTCAAGATAAAGTTATTAAGTACATCAGAAGAGAATAACAAGTGTTTTCAAACATTTGTAATTAATATAAATGAAAAAAAAACCATGCAGACTGGTACATGCAAAGCATTTCACAAGCAAAATAATATAATGAAAGATGGTAAGAGGAAACAGGTAGAAATCAAGACAAAATAAAAGCAGCTTTTTGAAGCATTCAAATCTCAATTTTGTTTATAGACAACCTCCTCAAAGCCTTGATGGCCTGCCAACACAAAATTTAGCTTTAATAAAAGATCATTTTCCAAGAGAAATATATTCCACTTGTTCTACATATGCAATAACTTGCGTTAAAATTGCATTCCTGAGCGAAAATTAACAAAAGCAATCAACTTGGGTTACATTACCCTAAGAATCCGTGTACATGTCTGTAGGATCAAGGTTTTAGTTATCCTTACATTTAATCAGTAAAATAATAACACTTATATTATTCTTGTAAATCCTTTGATTTTAATAGAGCTCATTCAGCAGCATGTGAAGAGCAACAAAAGTGCAACAAATGATTATAGGGTAAATGAAAACCTGCACAATGGATGTTTTTATTAGTCAAGTTTCTTGAGGTCTGGCAGACAACTTTAGGACTGGCAGGCAATTTTAACTCCTATAATGAGAGAGGTTTATCATTCTTGCAAATGTATCCTCCAGTGACAATAAATAGGCTCTCATTACCCAGTGTTGTGCTAGAATCATTAGCATGACTGGAAAAATTGCAGTCTTTAGTGAAAATAAGTGTGTAATTAAAGATTTATATAATTGACTCTACTACCTGTTAACTCTGCCTAAACATCCAACATAATGTTCTCTGCTAAGAATGACACAATAATTGCTTAATATATATACTAAATGGCCTGCTCACTAACACTTAAATATTTCGGTTTGCACATTAAATCATAAAGACAGATTTATGTCTCTGAGAACACCTAGCATTAAAAACCAGACCTTTGGAGGTTGTTTCAACCTCACACTACACTAATTTTATATATTTCAAGCAGCAAAGTCTACCACCTATCTGTGACACTTCCAAAAAAATCATTTTTAAGCCAAAACCAAAGGAATAACTGCTATCCTACCTAACATAGGAATACTGAATAACATCTGTTCCTCCTTTTTTCTATGGACTAGCAGAAATCAGCACCACAGCAAGTCATAGCTGTTTTGAAGCTTAAGGGGGTTTCTTGACTTACATTAAGGAGGTATCAAATGTTTCATTGATACACTCTTAAACAAAGACTTTGAGAGCACTCCTGGAAATAATCTCAATGCATAACCAAGGCTCCTTAAACTTTTAAAAGCAGACTGTTAAATATTTTTTTCTTTCCTTCCTCTTATGGACACTAACAGCTTTACCTGGAGTCCTGACAAAAGCAGCTACTGGGCATCCTACTGGAATTGAGCTTTTTCAGACTGGTGAACAGGAAGGTAGGTGCTATTTTGCCCCATATACAAAGACTTTTCAGCCACTTGGCCAATAATAGTTTGTTAAAGCAAATTGTTCCACAGAATGCAGTATTACTATAGAAAACAGTACACTTCAGAT